TCTTTATTCTTTTGAACTATAGAATTGGAAATTTCCTAGAGAAGTAATTTTACATAGTGGTTAAGAATGTACGCTCTAGAGTCAAATTGACCCACTTGCATCACTTGTTATTTATGCAGGCTTGTACATGTTACAGCTCTGTGCCTCAGTCTCTTATATGGTAAAATAGGAATAATTAATACCTCTACATGTCAGAAGAGACTCTGAATATTATACTAGAATGCCAAAATGCCAATAAGCCAAAACAAGGGGAAGAAATTATAAAGTAGAAGAGTTGAACCAAAGATTTCAAAGGGAAGCTTGTGAAGACAAAACTAGTATTATTAATGAAACATGCAAAGAGCTAGAGTCAGAAAATCAAAAAGGAAGAACTTGCTTGGTATTTCTCAAGCTAAAGGAACTGGAGAACAAATTCAAGCCTTTAGTTGAAATATTTAAAGATGCTATAGGCAAAATATTGAATGATGCAGGGAGTATCCAAAGGAATACACAGAGTAACAGTACCAAAAAGAATTGGCTGGCACAGAACCACATTAGGTAGTGCATATGATCAAAACCCTATGGTAATAAAAGAGGAAGTTCAAGCTGCTCTGATAGAATTGGCAAAAAACAAGACCCCAGGAATTGATGGCATACCAAATGACATATTTCAACACACGGATGCAGCCCTAGATCTGCTCACCAGGTTGTTCCAAGAAATCTGGAGGACAACTGCCTGGCCCAACTGAATGGAAGAGATCCATATTTATTCCCATTCCCCCAAAAAGATGATCCAGCAGAATGTGGAAATTATCAAACAAGATCACTAATATCACGTGTAAGCAAAAATCTTGCTGAAGATTATCCAAAAAGGTCTAGAATAGTCAGCATATTGACAAAGAACTTCTAGAACTATAAACTGGGTTTAGAAGAGGTTGTGGCATTAGGGATATCATTGCTAATGTCAGATGGATCTTGGCTGGAAGCAGAGAGTACGAGAAGAAGGTCTATCTTTGTTTTAATGACTTTGCCAAGGCATTTGACTGGCTCGTGACAAATTATGGCTAATGTTGAGAAGAATGGGAATCCCAGAGCATTTGATTGTGCTCATGTGAAACGTCTACCTAGACCAGGAAGCTGTTGTAAGAACAGAGCAAAGAAACACTGCATGGTTCAAAATCAAGAAAGAAGTGCATCAGGGATGTATCCTTTCTCCATACCTATTCAATTTATATGCAGAATAGATCATCATTCAGGAGACTGGATTTTATGAAGAAGAATGTGGCATCAAGACTAAAAGAAGACTCATCAACAGCTTGCATTTTGCAGATGACATAACTTTTCTCTCTGAAAACTGAGAACTTGAAATGTTTGCTTGTAGAAGACAAAAGACTGCAGTCTTTAATATAGATTGTATCTCAACATAAAAAAAAACCCCAAAATCTTCATTAGTGAGTCAAAAGGCAGCATCAACATTGAGGTTGTTAATAATTTCTTCTTGCTCAGATCCACAGTCAACACTATTGGCACTAACAGTCAGGAAATAAAAAGATGAGCTATATTTGGAAAAACTGCTATCAAAGACCTCTCCAGAGTGCCAAGCACACTCTCCAGAACACAGTGGTGTCAGTCTAGAGACTAAGGTGTGCCTGATTCACCATAGTCTTCTCAGTTGCTTGCTATGTATCTGAGAGCTAGATAATGATTAAAGATGACAGAGAATAGGGGAGCTCTGGTGACCTAGTGGTAAGGAGCTGCTACTACAATCCCAGAGGTGCACAGTTCAAATCCACCAGATGCTCTGCCGGGGAAGGAGGGACAATCTCCTCCTGTACCAGTCAGATCTGATTTGATGGTACACTCACACAAAAATAATAAAATAAAAAAAATTAAAGATGACAGAGAATAGATGCCTTTGAGTTGTGGTGCTGAAGAAGAGTATTGATCATACAACAGACTGCCAAGCAAACAAACAGGCTTGTCATAGAGAGATTGAAACCTGGTTGTTCCTTGGAGGCAAGGATTTTTGGAGCTCCATTACACATACTTTGGGTATATTGCCAGGAGGAACCAGTCCTTGGAGAAGAATCTCACACGTGGGAAGATAGAGAGTCAGCATAGGAGAGGCAGACCCTGGATGAGAGGGATTAATATAGTGACTGTAGCAATGGAGTCACGCTTGTCAAAGACAGTGAAGTTGACTCAAGATAGGACAAGGTTCAGAGCCATTGTTTATAGAGTCGCTGTGAGTTGTAGTTGACTTGATGGCACACACTAACAGCACCAATACCCCTGAGTTGCTGCAGCCCTTAAATAGGATTTCCTACTGTTGTTATGTACTGTCAACATATTGACTCTGTAAACAACCAATCAAAATCTTGCCTATCCTGCACCATTGTCACAATCTCTACTATACCCAAGCCCATTATTGCAAGTCACTGTACTACCTGTCTCCTTGAGGGACTTCCTCTCTTTCACTGACCCTCTGTCTTTTTTTTGGAGGGGATGAGTAAAATAATAATGATAGATTTATTAAAAATTTACATCCCCAAAGGGATGAAGCCCCCTCCCTGAAAGAAGGTATGAAGGGAAGGCCTGATCTTGTTAAGAACAGTACACAGTCCAGACTAGTGTTCAGTCAATGTTAGCTATTAAAGAAAATGTTAGCTTCCTCCAGTAAGTGTATTTTTACCACCACTTTCAGAGGGACCATCAAGTGTCTGAAATCTAATTGATGAACTGTAATTAAAGCCATTTAGAAAACTAAAACCCTGCTAACATTTAATGTAATTGAGCATGCATGTTTAAGCCTATGTGAAGGATGCATTTATATTAAAGATTTAAATGAGAAAACTCTTCATATAATAGGTGATATTCTTTTAAGAAGATGGTTATTATAGTTTGGTGATATTTTCAAAAAAGTTAAGAATTCTTTTGAAAAACTTGTAGAGCACAGATGATTTTAGAAATACTCTGTGATCTTACTGAAAAATGTCCAGGAGCCAAGTGTTACATGATATACTGCAGGAGATTAGGCTAAGGAGTGGTGAACCCTTTGAAGATTGACTGTTACTCACCTGAAATCTTAAGAAGAGATGTATTCAGGGTGGATACTGAAACTTGATTAATTACCACTGAGGGAAGGGCCAGTGAAGAAAGGAGTTCAAGAAGAAGGGGGCAAAGTGAAAAGCAGTAAAAGCAACAGAAATGGAACAAGTGTTGGGAGGCTAACTGGCTTGAATCCACTCTGAGCGAGTAAGGAAAGCAGAGCAGATTCCTATCATTTAGATTTACAGCCTGGGAAACCATGAAGGAGGGTCATCATGAGTTAAGACTAACTAATGGTGAGTCTGGTAGCTTAGTGATTGAAGTTGTGCTGTCAACCCTAAGGCACACTGTTCAAATCTACTCATTGCTCCATGGGAGAAAGATGAGCAGTTTCTTCCTATGCCATTTACAGCCTCTGAAAACCCACTGGAGGTTTGGATGGATTCTGACTCAGTGCATCAACAGCAGTGAGTGTTAGGAAATGTGAATCAGAAACAGGAGTGATGGTGAGAATTCCCAGGAAATTCACAGACATCTTTCCGCAGGCTCTTTAACCATGTTTTGTCACTCACTCATTCACTCATTGCCTTCGAGTTGGGACTGACTTATATTTGACCTTCAGGTGGGTTTTTAGGAATCTGTATATATTCTACTAGAGAAGAAAGCCTGTCTTTCCCCCCACAGATGTACTGGTGAGTTAGATTCACCAATGCGGTGCCCCCTTTCGATTAGCAGCACAACTCCCTATGGACCACTTCACCAGTAGTCGCTCTTTATAAAAGGGAGAAAGAAGACGATGATTTTCATTTTCATCATCGATTCTATGTAATAATGGATTAATGCTTCCTCTCTAAACTACAAGGAATGTTGCTGCTAAATCGTAATCAGATGCTAGCATACTTTCTGTTGGGACATTTGCTGCTATAAGCTGTTGCCTGAAATAGTTTTTGCAGTGTAGCTGTACGAATGATGTTAACATCTGCTGTCAGTGTACTGTAATGGATACACCAATGTTCTACACCCCTCTTCTTTCAGAATAAGATTTTGGAGGCTAAGTAATTTTCAGAGATTTTAAAGGCTAAGTTTGCTATAAAAAAAGAGTTACCAGTATGACTAAGATAACCATTCTTATTTCTCATATCCTCAAAGTGGTGCTCCTGCCCCCTTCTCCCGCCTCCATGTGGTGCAAAATGTACCAAGTCTGGTTTCTACTCTGAAAAATATAATATTCAAGATAAATTTAATAAATGAAAGGAAAAAAATTGAGTATACTCCAAATTAGTTTTTTGTCCTTCACATTTCAATTTCTTGATGTATACAGAATTTTACAAACTGTATGAGCATATTTTGATCTATTTACACATAACAGCCTTACTGTCTTCTCCAGTGTTGATAAATAAAAGGTAGGGAATGTTTCTTTCTCCATTGTGTGAGGTCACTTTTTTATGCTTTCATCCATTCAGTCAGTTCATGGAGGACCTACTATGTGTCAGGCATTGTTGGTCACTGTATGTACAGTGTAATTTTTTGTATAATAAATTATTTTTAAAAGAAATTTAGAAAATAAGAAAAAATACTTCCAATTTATCTGCATAGTTATTGTTTTTGATAACCTTCATTCTTTAGAAGAACTGATTTCTTCTTTTCTTGAGATTTGTATATCATTTTCCTTAACCCCCAAGAACTTTGACTTTTTTCAAATGGTCATAAAAACATATATCACAATATTTGGTGATAATATAGGTGCTCTTGTGGTATAGTCTGTAGAGAGTTGCACTGTTACACAAAAGTAGTACCTGTCTGGCAATTTGTACCCACTATTGCCCCATAGGGAAGAGTGAGCAATACCTTCCTGTGCAATTTACAGCCTCTGAAAACCCATTGGAGGGTCAGCTATGACTCTGACTCCATGGCTGTGACTTCTGTTTTTCTTATTTTTATTGTTAATCAACTCTATCCTTTGAAAATTTTAGGAGCAGCATTTCTTGCTATTACAACTATCTATGCTGAGACTGGATCAGGTTTTGTGGTACCAAGTTCTTCAGCAAAAGCCGGAGTGGAAGCTTTGAACAAGTGAGTTTAACTCTTATAATCCTGCTACTGAAAATATACTTATAAATTCTGGTGGCTGATGAAAGTAACTTCCTGATTGCTTGTCTGAATTCAGTGAGCAGTGAGATAAAGACGGAGTTAGATTGATTGGTAAATGGTATATATCTCATGGATGAGTTTTATTTGTCTGTAGCAGCATTGTCTAATAGAACTTTCTGCAGTGCTGAAAATATTTTAGAATTATGGGCTCTTTCATAGCCACATGTAGCCATTGGACCTTTGGACTGTGACTGGGAGACTGAATTTTCAATTATATTTTTGAGTTCAGGTAGGCATTTGTAGTCTCTTTGAAGGTCAGATGAGACAATGCAGAACTATAGCTTTTTAATTTTACTCTACCTGGTGTCATTATCTGACCTCTTGTCATCACTGACCTCTTGTAAACACATCACTCTGCTTTTTTATACCTTCTGTACAAGATTAATAGTGTTAACACAGATCAGTGACTGCTTGCAAGGTCCAGTGGCCTTTTTGTAGCAGTGTGTAACTGCCTTTTGAATATCTTAACTGTTGGCCTTTTCTACCATCTTTGCCATTCTACAGACTCTTGCCATCTCTTGCCTAGCTTACTATAGTAATTCTAGAATATATTTCTCTGCCAGCAGTCGTTCTCATCTTTATTTCTTATTGTACTTCTACCATACCTATTCTTCTAAAGATTATATCTGATTATGATAGTCTCTTGCTAAAAATCTTGTCTTTTTTTCATTTGTATAATTTTTATGATATTTAATAGAAAATTATTTATTGAGAATGCTAGGTAGCTGGGCTATAATGGAGAAATAAATTGAACAGTCCTTACACCCGCTGAACATATAATCTTAAAAATTTCTGTGACTTAATTTGCACTAAAATACTTTCTGTTCAGCATGCCGTATCCTTCTGTTCCTGCATTATGCTATTAAAATGTACTTCTTGTTGCTTTGTTATGTGCCATCAAGTCGCTTGTGACTCATTGCGACCCCTATGTATAAGAGCCCTAAACCCTGCTCTATCCTGTGCCAACCTCACTGTCTCTGACATACCCACTCCCACTACCCCAATCACTGAATTGATTCATTTCATCAAGAGTCTTCCTCTCCTGCACTGTCGCTCTACTATCCCAAACATAATGTCCCTCTCCAAGGATTGGTCCCTCCTTGCAACATGTCCAAAGTAGGTCAGATGAAACTTAAGAATCCTTGCCTCCAAGGAGCAGCCTGGCTTCATCCTTTCCAGGACAAACTTGTTCGTTCTCCTAGCAGTCCACAGTATATTCAACATTTTTCTCCAACACTACAGCTCAAAGGCATCAACTCTCTTTCTATCATCCCTAGTCACTGTCCAGCTCTCTGATGCATAGCGCACGATTATGAAGACTATAGCCTGGATCAGGAGCACTTTAGTCTCCAGCCTGACGTAGTTGCTCTTCAATACGCTGGAGAATTCACTTATTTATTTTGCTCACCTCAGGGTTCTCATTATATCATCCTCTCTTAGATGTTTCTTCTCCTTTCATATGACATAGTTAATTTCTCTGTACTCTGTGCACTCTTAAGGATTTACATAGACCAAACCAGTGATATGACAGACTAATAATGTCATCCAATGTTGAAGATTCTCAGTTGAAGGCTATAAAAACAGTACAGTAAGGGCAAAGAGAAGGGCAGGGTAGAATTCTGGGGAGCACAACATTGAAGCTAGCTTCAATGAACCTATTCTCTCCACTACGATGTCTTTCTCATCTCTGTATCCTTATCGTTCAGTAGGATCTGGTACAGACTTGGTACTCAATATTTGTTCAATATTGTGGAATAAACAATTTTAATAGTACCTTTCTTCCAATAGACCTTGAGAGGTGTTTTTTTAACACTTAGATCAATAGTATAAATTTACTTGAAAGAAAAAAAAAATTGCTACTATAGCCAGAAGTTAAATCTTGTTCTGAAATGAGATCTTTGCCATTTTTTAAAGGCAAATGATAAATAGGAAATTAAAGATGCTGAGTAAGTCTGATAGTGTGGCATCTTGTTCTACTATCCAAACATCCACATGAATCTGTGGGTTCGAATCAAGCTCTGTGGAGGAAAAAGATGGACCGTTTCCTAATGTTAGGATTTGAGCCTTGACCCTGATGAAGGGTCACTGTAAAGCAATGCTACTCAACAGCAGTGAGTTAAACAAACTTATTTTATTAAAAAAACACAAAAAAACCACACTAAACTAAATTTTATAAAGGTATTTAAAGACTGCTTGTCAAATGCTGAGAAAAATAAGCACAGCAAACACTAATTCAAGAAATAACAAAAATAGCAATATTTGATAAGACAAACTTTAACACTAAATCAACCATAAAAGCTAAGGAAAAGTGGGAGATAAAGGATCAACTCACCAAGAAAACCTAACAATTCTAAATATCCAGTGACAAGGCACCAAAATATATGAGACAAACTCTAACAGCATTGAAGAGATATAGCTTCCCAATAATAATAATAGTAACCACTTTGGGTGAAGAACAGAACAGTTAAAAAGAAGGTCAATCAAGATACCTCAGTCAATCGAAATACCTCAGTCAGCCAATTTGATCTCATAGACTTACACAGAACAGCAAGAGCATCATGGTTTATGGTTTTTTTTTCCCAGTGCTTATGGATCATTCCTTAGTGTAGACCACATTTTAGGACACAACCAAATATCAATAAAATAAAAAACATAGAAATGATATAAAATTTTAGTCTGATTATAGCACTATAAAAGAAACCAGTAACAGATCAAAAGAAAAAAATAAAATGCATGGAAACTTAATAATACTTTGTTAAAAACAATTGAACATAAACAAAATCAAAGGTGAATTAAGAAACGTCACAGGGCTAAATGAGAATTAAAAACATGACATTTCAAAACCTTTCAGACACATCAGAAGCTGTGCTCAGCAGATCCGTTTTTGGCAGTAAATGCACCCATTTAAAAAAAATTCAAAACTAAAACATTAGCCCTACAATTTGAACGAATAGAAAAAGAGCAAGAAAAGTAGCCTGCAGTCAGGAGAAGAAAGAAAATAGTATGTGTCAGAGAAGAAATCAATGAAATGGAGAAAAGAAAAACAATAACTTTAACTAGACCGGAAGTTGACTCCTAGAAAGGATCAATATAGTAGGGAAACTACTAGTCAGAGTGACAAAAGAAAAACAGGAACAGCAAGGGACTGAAATATGAAATGATATTACAACAGGATTAATTCTAATTTTAAAAATACTTAATAGCTACACTATGAAAAATTTTACTCCCAACAAATTTGTAAACCTGGAGGAAATGGAAAATGTCTAGGAGGCACAGGGTGGCACAGAAAGGACAGCGTTCTGATCTACTGTTCGTAGGGTTGCTCCGAGTCACACTCTACTAAATGGCACCTAACCACAAGAATTTACACTAATGTGAAGTGAGGTAGTGAAAACGGAACAGACTCCAAAACAAAAGGAGAGACTGAAGAGGTTAGTAAAAACAAAACAACTCTCTTAACTCTCTTCAATAGCAAGACTCTGGCTGAGCTTTCCTGGAGAATTCTACCAAACATTCAGAAAAGAGCTTTACATCAATACTGTTCTAACTATTTAAGGCATAAGAGAGGAAGAAATACTCCAGGGTCATTCCATGGAATCAACATAAATGTAAGACCAAAGCCAGGCATAAACACCAGCTTGGGGAGGGGAAAGGAAAACAAGAAAGAAATTTGCAGATCAGTATCTCATTTGTCATAAGCGTAGATGCAAGAATTTCTCTACAAAATTCTAGACACTAGAATTTAAGATATAAAAACCGTGAAAAAGTATGTTGTTGTTAAGTTGTGCACTGTCACGTTGGAACCAACTCATAGCCGCCCCTCCAGCAGGTTTTCAGAGGCTGCTCAGGAAGAGATTGCTCATCCTTCTTTCACAGAGTAGATGGTGGATTTGAACCATATGCCTTTGGTTTGGCACTGCAACTCCTCACCACTAAGTCATCATTATGGCCAGGTAAAATTCATAACATATGCAAGAGTCATTCAACTTTAGAAAAGGAATCGATGAAGCAACCCCCCCAAAAAAAAAATCAGATGATCTTCTCAATGAAGCAGAAAAGGCATTTAATGATATTCCAAAACCAATTCTTGATGAAAACCCTTAGCACAACTGAGTAAGAGGGGAAACTCCTCAACATAATAAAAGTTTTGTAAAAAAAAAACAAAACAAAACACCTCAACAACATATTTTTAATCGTGGTTGTTGTTAGGTGTCATCAAGTTGACTGGGACTCAAAGTGACCCTGTTAATAGTAGATCTGAACCTTGCCCGACCCTGAACCATCCTCACTGTCTGTGTTGCGATCACGCCCACTGTACTAGTCACTGTGTCAGTCCATACTGTTGAGAGTCTTCCCCTCTTGCACTGTTCTTCTACTGCTCCCAGCGTGATGTCTCTCTCCAACGTCTGGTTCCTCCTGAAATATACTCAAAGTAAGTGACCAAGTTTCCCTGTCCTTAACGAACATTCTGGCTGCATTTCTTTTAAGACATGTTTGTTCTAGCAGTTGTTGTTAGATGCCGTCAAGTTGAGTATGACTCATGACTGCCCTATGAACAACAAGCGTGAACTCTGTCCCATCCTGTTCCCACCTTTACCATCTCTGGCACACTTGAGCACGTTGCTGCAGTCACAGTGCCAATCCGTGTCTTTGGAGGGCTTCCTCTCCTTTGCTGACCCTTCTTATTTATTTCCAAGCATGATGTCTCTTTCCAAGGAATAACCTTTCTTAGCAACATGCCCAAAGTATGAAAGATGAAGCTTCACCATCTTTGCCTCCAAGGAGCATACTGGCTGCACATTTCTCAAGATGTAACTTTCTTTTGCAGTGCATGGAATATTCAGTGCTCTTTTCCAACACCACAGTTCAAAGGCTTCAGTTCTTCTGTTATCCTTCCTTACTCATTTCCAACTCTCAGATACATAGTAAGTGACTGAACACACACGTTAAGTCATTAAACTCATTTCATTGCTCCTCAGTATTTTAAAGAGATCCCGACAACAGATTTTCCCAATGTAATACATCTCTTGATTTACTGATTGCTGGTACCAGGGGTGTTGATTGTTGATGAAATAATTGATAACTTCAGTTCTTTCTCCATCTGTCAGGATAAGGTTTCAAGTTCTTTTGGTAGCCCATGATATTTTCAGTTCTCTTCATCAGCATCACAGTTCACCGATATTGATTTCTTCTTCTATCTTCTCCAACTTTCAGCTGATAGGAAGCAGTTTAAAATACCAAGACTTGTGTCAGACACACTTTAGTCTTTAAAATTATTTTATCAATGGAAAAAGATTGAATGCATTTCCATTATGAAAATGAGACAAAGGTGCTCTTTCTCACTCTCTATTCAATATTTTTCTGGGAGCTCTAGTGAGAGCAATAAGTGAGGAAAACAAAGGGCATTCACATTGGTAGGGAATAAGTAAAACTATCCTTTTTCAGAGGTCATATCCAATATACATATGATCCTATATCGTATATCTAATTATACATAGAAGACCTTATATACAACAGGTTGAAAATGAGAAATATTACTCAAACAACTCCGGCTGGATTTAGAAAAGGTTGTGGTACTAGGGATATTATAGCTAATGTCAGATGGATCTTAGCAGAAAGCAAAGAATACCAGAAGAATATCTGTATGTGCTTCATTGACTATGCAAAGGCTTTTGACTGTGTGGATCACAACAAGCTGTGGCTGACTCTGAGAAGAATGGGAATCCCGGAACATTTGATTGTGCTAACACGAAACTTAACTTAGACCAAGAGGCAGTTGTCAGAACAGAGCAAGGAGACACTACATGGTTCAAAATCAAGAAGGGGTTCATCAGGGATGTATTCTGCCTCCATACCTTTTCAATCTGTATGCAGAACAGATCATCCGAGATTCTGGCCTGTAGGAGGAGGAATGTGGCATCAGGATTGGTGGAAGAGTCATCAACAACCTGCGTTATGCAGATGACACAACCCTGCTTGCTGAAACTGAGGAGGACCTGAAGCGCTTGCTGCAGAAGATCTAGGACTACAGCCTCCTAAATGGACTGAAGCTCAACATCAAGAAAACAAAGATTCTAACCACTGGGCCAATTGGCAGCATCAGCATGGATGATGAAGAGATTGAGATATTTAACAGTTTTAATTTACTTGGCTCCACAGTCAACACTCTTGGTAACAGCAGCCAGGAAATCAGGAGACGAATTGCATTGGGAAAGTTGGCTGTGAGGTACTTCTCAAGAGTACTGAAGAGCAACGATGTCAGGCTGGGACTAAGGTGCGCCTGATCCGGGCTATAGTCTTCACAGTTATGTGTTATGCATCAGAGAGTTGGACAGTGAATAGGGTTGATAGAAAGAGGATTAGTGCCTTTGAGCTGTGGTGCTGGAGAGGAGTGTTGAATATACCATGGACTGCTAGGAGAACAAACAGGTTTGTCCTGGAGAGGGTGAAGCCAGAGTGTTCCCTGGAGTCAAGGATTCTGAAGCTTCATCTGACATATTTTGGGCATGTTGCAAGGAGGGACTGGTCCTTGGAGAGGGACATCATGTTTGCCAGAGTGGAGGGGCGGCAAAGGAGAGGAAGACCTTTGATGAGATGGATCGATTCTGTGACTGGAGCGGTGGGAATAAGTGCGTTTGAGATGGCTAGGTTGGTACAGGATAGAACAGCATTTAGAGCTCTTGTACATAGTGTCGCTATGAGTCACAAGCGACTCGATGGCACATAACAACAACAACAACTCAAACAACTCAAACATTCCAGTAATCATGGAGATGGTTCAGGATTTGGAAGCATTTCATTCTGTTAGACATAAAGTGGCCATGAGCTGAAGCTGACTAAACAAAACTAATAACATCATCAGGCTTTTTAAACAGGCTGATGAAAGGTTTCATGCTTATATTTTGCATCAGTGTGTTTAGCAAGCTTTTTACAAGCTTATTACATTTCCTCTTTCCTTTCGAGCTCAGTTCAACAATTGCATTAAAGTCTAGTTTAACATGGATGTGGTTAATAGTTTAAATCTCTGCAATCCATCTCCTCTTCAATTAAAGCATTTATGATGTTACAGCCATTTTAATTCAATGTAGAAGGCTATAAGTCAAGTTATATTGAATTTTATAAATGCAGAGCTGAAAACATGGAAGCAACACAAATCTCTTTAATTATTGTATGAATTAATTCTCTGTATTGGTATTAGACTTGTTGCTCCTAAAATGCTAATGGTAAATTGTATAGCAGGGCTGTTGACGGTACAAATTTTGAAGGTCAACCACTTGAATTTAACTCACTATCCATGTAACTGAGCATTATTTTATCTCTCTGAACTTCGGTTTTTTACATGTAACATAGAATAGTAATAGTATTTACCAGTGGGGGTGCAGTCTAAGAAAGGTAGTAGGTTGCAGTGATTGTTGGTTATTTGTATTTTTAACATGTGTATATATATAATATTTGTAATATGTTGTTTAATTTTTAGATCTCTTGCAGCTGAATGGGGCAAATACGGAATGCGATTCAATATAATTCAACCAGGGCCTATAAAAACCAAAGTAAGTTTATTATCACACTGTGAATGATTAGGGGATGTGTTTATTATTATTTTATGAGGGACTTTCTAGTCATAACTGAATTTGAAACCTCAGTGATAGAGGAAGAAACCTTTATTACTATCTGCCTTATTATCTGCTTTAACAGAGAGGTAGTCCAGATGTCCAGCAACCATGCAACTTATGGTTTTTGTTAGATGCTGTAGTGCCATTTCAAACTTATGGTCGGACCCCATGCGTAACAGAACGAAACACTTCCCAGTCTTGTGCTATCCTCACAGCTGCTGAGATGTTGGAGCACATTGTTGCAGCCACTGTTCAGTCCATCTTGTTGAATGTCTTCCTCTTTTTCTCTGAAGAAATGAGTACAGGTGCCAAGATGACAAGAAGTGAATTGTTACAATTTACTTTACCAAGTATAGTATTTGAGATTGGTACCTCCTAATAACGTGTCTCTAAAGTACTGAAGAGCAACAATGTCAGTCTGGAGACTAAGGTGCACCTGATACAGGCCATGGTCTTTGCAATCACTTCCTCTGCATCAGAGAGCTGGACATTGACTAGGGAGACTAGAAGGAGAATTGATGCTTTTGAGCTGTGGTGCTGGAGAAGAGTATTGAATATACCATGGACTGCTAAGAAAATGAACAGGTTTGTCCTGGAGAAGGTGAAGACAGGCTGCTTCGTCTGACATACTTTGGACATGTTGTAAGGAGGGACCAGTCCTTGGAGAGGGACATCACAAGAGGGTGGAGGGACAACACAAGAGGGGAAGACCCTCTATGAGGTGAATTGATTCAGTGACTGGGGTAATGGGGGTAGGTATGTCAGAGACAATAAGATTGGCACAAGATAGAGCAGGGTTTAGGGCTGTTGTACATAGGGTCGCTATGAGTCTCAGGCAACTCGATGGCACATAAGAACAACAAAAACAACAACAATAACAGTGTGTCCAAAGTGTGTTGCAATCCTAAAGGCCCACAGCTCAGATCTAGTAGCTGCTTCACAGAAGGATGGGCAGTCTCCTCCCATGATGCCTCTGAAAACTCACTGGATAGTGTGCTATGAGTTGGATCTCACTCCACGGCATACAACAGCATTATATAATTTATCTTGTTTTTGTTGTATACGATCAAATCTGAATCATTCTCAGTATATATATTTCATTTATATTTATATTATTTAATTTATAGATATATTTTTAAAAAATTTATTCCTTTAGAGAACCCAACTTAAAATAAGAATTGTCCAGTGAAGTTGAGTCACTTCATTGAGTTCAATGACATATCAACTCCCTAATGCCTATGGTATCATTCTTCATACTTTGCATGTAATTTTTGACAACTTTCAATACTACATATTCTGATTGCTAATGGAGATTGTTGACTGTTTATTCTGAGTCTGACATCAGCAAATAAGGATTTGAGAAGCTTTATTTCATTCACATCCTTAACGTAGCTTCTACTTTGAGGAGGCCGCTCTTTCTAAGGCGTATTTTGAGCCCTTTCCAACCAACCCAAAGAGCTCATCTTCTGACATTGTTATCAGACATTATTTCACTGTGGTCCATAATGTTTTCACTGGCTTACTTTTTAAAAAGTAGATTTTTAGTTCCTTCTTCTGAGTCTGTCTTAACCTTAAAAGTCTGCTGCGATTTGTCTATTATGAGTGACCAGGATGTTACCTGCTGGCCTAACTTCCAGCATCACAGCAATACTAAAGCCACCACAGTGTGACAGAATGAGAGACAAGTGGTGGTGCATCTTCTTAATAAGGCCAATTTCAACATCTGGATTTCCTGGGATCTTTAATGCCATCTTTTTTTTTTTGCATTTTGTCCAATTTGCTTTAATGTTCTGTTATTGTATTTCCTAATTTTCATCTTCACTTTGAAGATTCTTACTTTGACTAGCATTCTTTTTTTTTTAAATCATAGAAATATAAGTATATTTTTAGCTTAAGAAATATTCTGGAAATGTATACAGGTTTGGTCTTGTTTTAGGTAGATATTCTTTGGCTCATGTCTGTGCCTTTTCACTTTCAAACCCACAATTATAATGTCATCGAACTCCCACGTCTCTCTGATTAAAATCCCTTCTCATGACATATATTTCTCCTCTAATCAATAATCCTTACAGGTACTCATTGCAACTCATAATTATCGTTAACACCCTGGCAAATGTTTTTCACAATGTCCACAGGTTCTCTGTCTCTTACAGTATCCCAAAGAGTTTAACTCTCACACTTCCTTATTACCTGCTCCCTCCACTCCTCCCCATGTAAATAAAGAGTTTATAATTCAAACAAGGATTCAGCCAGCTGAAGTTAGATAACAAGGAAGTTTGGGGTATTGTGTGTTGTGTATTATCTGAGATATTATGTATTAATACAGAAACAGCTACATTAGTTTATATTAGTTTTAAGAGGTGGAAAATATAAACAAAAATTACATGCATGAGTGAAATTTGTTTGACTAATTTATTGAAGTCTGATACTCAGCTATAGTTGTTGTTTTGTACCATTAAGACAGAACCAACTTATAGCTGACCTAGCAGGTTTTCAGAGGCAGTAAATTGCATAGGAAGAGATTGGCCATCTTTTGGAACAACTGGTGGATTTGAACTGGGTGCTTTTGGTTCACAGCCCACCTTCTTACCACTAGGCCAACAGACCTTCTTCAATAATATAATGGAATCTAATAAAAGTAGTGGAAAAACATCTGAAAAATGTATGTTCATGATTTAGGGTGGCACTGTGCTAAGTACTGTTTAAAAAGAACTCCCTAGTTAGAGAGCATCTTCTTTCTTGATCTTATCCCTGTGTAGTGGTAAAGGGTAATGAACTTGGCTGATAACCAAAGGTTTGAAGGTTCAGATCTGTTCAGAGATGAGTCAATAAAAATTCCTCTTGGTCTATTCCTAAAAAAATCCATCATTGAAGGCTCCATGCAGTGCAGTTCTATGCTGAGATGCATGGGGTTGCCAGGAATTCTAATTAACATGACAGCAATTGGTTTTCTCTTGGTATTTAGTAAGGATCACCTCACTACTGGGCACAAATGTACTGAGAAAGATACAAAACCTTTGAGATAGTGTTTGTCATCAAAGAGGTTATGGCATAGTAATAGAGATACAGCTTATAAGCAAATGGCTCGGGTGTGATTTTTAGAGACATTTAAAAAGAAAAACAATGCAGAGACTCTCTAGCAAGTACTGACACAAGCAAGACTGAGGCTGATGGTTACTTATGTTCTCTTTTGTTTTGTTTGTGTAGGAAGGATGGAAGGTCCCGTAAGAGTTTTTATGAGACTCTGTCTCAATCCTGTGTTATTGAGAAACATTGTCATCTAGACTTCAAAGCACTAGTATGGAAAAGGCCATTTGCTTTTATTAATCAGTAAACATCCTTTCTTCATTTTGATTTGTTCTTTTACACCATGATTATTAAAATTTTTGGTCAATGTTATAGTTTTCCTGTCTCTAGGATTTCTTGAATGTATTATTTTTACATACTTATTTTCTTCTTTCTTCTTTTTTGGAGAAAGGAGAGGGAAAGGATTCCCTCTTAAATGTTCCTTTGAAATAAGCTTAAAAAGTGATTTTTAATAGCAATAGCACCTCTATCCCCACCACTTTGAACTGTTTCATATATCTGAGTACCTTTATATATGCTTTTTTGTCCTTTTCTCCACAACCTTGAACTTTCACATATTTTAGAGTACCTTTACCTGTATTTTTCATTTGATTACAATTTTGTGAACTAAGACAGAAACCTTCATTTTATAGATTATGAAACTCGGGTTTAAAAAGTAACTTTTTTTCCAGTGGTTTATTGTGGGGTTTTTTAAAAGTACAGCTTAGGTAAAAAGCCTTGTTTTTGACTAGAGTGAGTGGGAGACTTTTGCAAAATTTTGTTACTTATGAGGCCTTAAGTATGAAACAACTGCCATGGTACTTAGTATTTTTGTACTTGCTATTCATTTATTAAGTAGAATGGGAGTTGAATTAGAAAAAAAAAAGAAACTTATTCTTCCCTCCCCCCATCGCTTTCCATTTTTAAGGGTGCCTTTAGTCGCCTTGACCCAACTGGAACGTTTGAAGGTGAAATGATCCACCAGATCCCCTGTGGGCGTCTTGGAACTGTGGAGGAACTCGCCAATCTTGCTGCCTTCCTTTGTAGCGATTATGCCTCGTGGATTAGTGGCGCAGTAAGCATTGATGCTTTTCTTGCATTTTTAGGGTAGACAAGCACTGGGGACATGTTGTTGAACCAATTCTGACAATGCTGAATGAAAGTATGGCTTAAAATAGTTATTTAACTGTAAATACAGTAAAATCTTTTATATAATATTCTAAATTTATGCTTATGTGTTATTACTCATATTATTTAGTCGATGAAGTGAATTAATTGACAACTTTATTAAGATCCATTTGCCAGGCAGCTTTTATTTGATCTTAGTGATTGGGAAAATTGAAAACAAAAGACAATCATTTTGGGTTTAATCATCAATTTTATTTTAAAAAATTGGGCTCTTGTTGAAAGTATCAATGAGATATGGATGGGAAATGGCTAGTGGTTTGTGGCAGATTATTTTTTTGTGGCTTTTTAATCCTCCTTACTTTTGCAGGTTGTAAAATTTGATGGTGGAGAGGATGTGTTTCTTTCAGGGGAATTCAACAGACTGAGTAAGGTAATGCCATTTTGTATAAGTAATACAAGATTGGCATCATTGATAGTAAGATTTAAAACATGAAACAAACATATACAATTGATATATTTATTTTTTTTTAATTCTCTGTTAGGTCACCAAAGAACAGTGGGACACAATAGAAGCTCTCGTCAGGAAGACCAAAGGATCCTAGATCATCCTGCTGGTCGTCCTTGGTTGAAACAAATAATCAATGAACACGGTTGATCCAAACAGGATACCCTTTTTCAGGTTTTGGTTTGTATTGGGGTTTCCCCCCCAAAAGTCTAATAAAATTGTAATTCATAAAAATTTATTGAGTATGTATTATGTGCCAGGCCCAATGGGAGACATTATATAGTCAAAGATTGTATACTTTTTGTTCCTCTCCACAGAAATCTTTAGTAAAACGAGAAAAAAATTCATACTATCTGAAGAGAAGCCAGAGTATGAGATTGTATATTTTTTAAAACTCAAATTAAATACCATCAAATCAGAACTAACTCATAGTTGAACCTCCTGTGGGTTTTCAGAAATTATAGATCACACAGGAGGAGATTTCTTATCTTTCTTGAGTGGAGTTAACAGTGAATTCAGAGCAGTAGAGAAGTGTCACCTTTTGATTAGGCCAACAGGCCCCCTGCATTTCCTTTCATGTATATGAAAATGTAAGATGAGAGTCTTGATAGAGGTAAAAAATGTTTGCAAGTATAGGTAAGGGAACACATAAAAAAAATCAGAAATTTCATGGACTATAGACTATTCAAACTGATAATCCTTTTTAGCACTTTGAAAGGTCTTTGGCAGCAGATTTCCCCAGTGGAACACATCTTTTGATTTGTTGACTGCTAATACTTTAAGTGTTGATTATAGATATAGGTAAGAAGAAGTCAATGGCAATTTCAATCTTTCTGTATCTATCATGATGTTGCCCATTGATCTACTGGTGAAGGTTTTTGTTTTATTGTTGCTGAGATGTAATCCATATTGAAGGCTTGGATGCTTTGCAGCAACTGCTTTAAGCATTCTTCACTTTTAGCAAGCAAGGGTAATGTCATCTACATAATGCAGGTTGTTGATGGGTCTGATCCAAGTCCTGGTATTTTCAGTTGCTTCCTATGTATCTGAATGTTGGACATTGAATAAGGAAGACCAGAGAAGAATCAATACTGTTGAGCTGTGGTATTGGTGAAGAATATTGACTGTCCAATGGCCTGCCAAAAGAACAAACAAATCTCTCTTGGAGGAAGTGCAATCAGGTTGCTTCTTAGAGTCAAGGATGGTGAGAAGTTCATCTCACTCACTTTGGGCGTGTTATCAGGATGGGCTGGTTCTTAGCAAAGGATATCATGTTGGAAAAAGTGGAGGGTCAGTAAAAGAGAGGATGACCTTCAAATGTTGTTGTTGTTATGTGCTGTTGAGTCATTTGTGACTCATAGCGACCCTATGCACAACAGCCCTAAACCCTGCTCTATCCTGTGCCAATCGCACTGTCTCTGTAAGTGTAAGAATGGGCTGAAGTGTGGCAGAGGTCATGAGGATGGTGAAGAATAGGACAAGGTTCAGATCTCTTGTTCATCGGGTGGCTGAGTCATAGTCAGTTCAATGACCCCTGTAAGGAACGTGTGAATTAAATATTAAACCATTCCTATGGTAGTAGAGCAGAAAAGAAAGAAATCAGTGAATCTCCACTAAACTTAATGGACTCTACCTTTTACATTTACTTCCTTTTCATTAAGATTATGGATGGTCTTTAGCTAGCTCAATATTAATACAAACTAAAATATTTACCAACATCAATTTTGTAGCTATGTATTTTATTTAGTACTGAGGGGTGGGGGGAAGAATCTCTTGCCCTTGCCTCTTGAAACCGATTATGCAGAGGATAGATGAACTAATAAATAATTATTCATGATACAGTACAATAAACATCCCTTTAGTGGTATTTAATGTGTAAGGAAAAGTAATTCATTCTATCTCCGAAGTTTAGTGAAAGTAATTCCTGGGGGATGGCATTCTATCTCCACAGTAAGAGACTAGAGTTCTTTAGATAGAGGAGTATAACTTATTAAATATTTGTATGTATAGTTTCATTCCATTCCATATTTGGTCTGGCTAATTAATCATCTTGAGAATCAGACAATAAGAAAACCAAAATCTCAGGTTTATGTAACGTTCATTGAGTTTGTATTTTTTCGAAAGCATTGCCTAAGTCAGAATCACTCATAACATGCTCCTTGGACTATTGCCATTACCCAGATTACCTAGAGAGGTGATGGCTTCTCTGAAAGGACCTGCAAAGAAATATGTTTTCCTTATTTGAATTTATATGCTTTATGCCCCATAGGGAGTTGTGGTGGTGGAGAGCAGAGGAATTGCACTGTTGACCCAAAGGCTGAGCTTCTCTGGTGGTTGGAATCCACCCGCTGCTCTGCAGGACAAAGATGAGTGACCATCTCTCATGTGATTTACAGCCTTGGCCATCCAATCGATGGTTGGCTATGAGTCAGTCTGGACGCAGCAGCAGTGACACAGAGGGAAGCCCTTCAGGCAATCATTTTATTTTCATGTTGATAGATATTAAGTACATAAATCACATTTATTACACTTAATTATGTATAAATAGATAAAGTTATAGATTTAGAATAAGTAATCTTGTCATTTCCAGTGACATGGACTTTCTCTCGATGTTTTATGTTACATCTTTATTTGCACTCCTTTGTCACCACTGAATCTCTATTTTACCTTCTTAACACCATTGCTCATTTTCTCCCACTTGATAATGTCATTTCATTTTTTCCAAATCTCTTGTGGTATAAAGAAAGAAAATGTCTTTAGTTACATGATGCTGAACAAGTCTCATAATTTTATTTTCTATGCAAGTCAGGATTATAGTATCCTCCTCCCTGGGTTTTTATGAGCTTTTTTTTTCTTTGTGTGGTGGGGGAGGTACCACAAAAGAGTTAACATTTTACAGTAAAGAGTTTTACAGTTACAGATAACAGTTAACAATACATTTAATAGTCAATTCAGGTGCTAATTGAAAGGTTGGAAATTTGCAGCCACCCAGAGATGTCTTGGAAGAAAAGCCTGACAATCTAGTTCTGAGAAATCAGTCTTTGAAAAGCCTGTGGAGCCCCTTTCTCCACACAGAAAACACAAGCAGCAGCAGTATATATGCTGGAATCAACAAAACCAAGCTGCAACTAGTAAAACACTTAATGAAATGTAAATCAGACAATTGAAAAGGCTGGTGCCCTCTTGTCTTTGTCAAAAACACTCACTTTAAAGATAGGAAAAGCATGAGAATTCGGGATGCTTATCAAGGACAAAAATGAGAATATTGGGGGGGATGAATCTCACAGCAAAATAATTGACTGATCTCCCAACAACCCCTTCTGTTAACATTTTATGAAAATTTATTTCAGCTATTTACTTTTATAATGTAATTTGTCCATAAAATTTAGGTAACAAATACTAAAGCATTTATACTTTACTGTGTTATACTTTCAGAGCAGATTACTTTTTTTACTATGTATTTATTTAAATTTTAGAAACTTGTTGACTGTCTTCCATGAATGGTGAAGGTTTAGTTGTTCTGTTCACTTTCTAAACCTACCCTCTACCACCCATCAAACAGACATATACATGTGCAAACTCTTTTCCTCCACTTTGGCAAAGTTAATATGAAGTATTTACATTTTGATAATTTTATTAATATTATTTCCCCAAAATGTCTTCTCTCTTCCCCCCTAGTTCTTCCCCCACACACACACATTCTTTTAAACACAGTCAAGGTTGTTTTATATATCAGATTGTGTTATTTTTATAAATATGAGTTTCCGAATTTTTCCTCATGATAGATTTCTGGAAGCAATGTTATTAGTGAAAGACTTTTAAAGCCCTTGATACACATTTCCTTACTGTTATCAAAAGAATTGTCTGTCCCCAAAATTATTATTAAAAAGAATTTAAACTACCATGACAGTATTTGACAATTTCAACAAATCTTTGCCAGCACAGAGCATTCTCACTTTAAAATGATTTGCTAGTTGTACAAGTAACAAATGATGACTAATGTTCATTTGATTATTAGATTGAGTACTTTTCTACTTCATTATTTTCCTGCTTGTCTTTTTACCTAATGGCAACTTAATGGGTTATTATTTTTTTTAAAAAGTGACTTTAAATAGAATTTGTTCTCCTGTTAATCATTAGCTAGAGTTTCACGAGGGCGTTCTGGGGTTTTGTCCATGGGGAGTGGTGCTGCTAATCCAAAGGCCACACCTCTCTGGTGGTTTGGATCCACCAATGAGTGACTCTGGGAGAAAGATGCACAGTCTCCTTACTTGTTTTACTGCCTTGAAAACCCAATGAAGAGCCAGGTAAGAGTTGGCTCCCACTATGTGGCAACAAGTGAATGAATGTAGTTTCACTACTGTATGCTTTTATGAAAGATATAAGAGCTTGCAAACAGAGCCAAAAGTATTTTAAAAAAATAAATAGAAATTATGTGGTTAACCACTAACAAAAATTTTCCAGTGTCTTCAAGAAAAACTCAAACATTATCAATGAACGATTACTGGACTTTACAACAGACCACTTTTGGGCTGTAACCACATCTCCACTTCATTTCAAGAAGTATTGCATTGTTATTCTACTTAGTATTTCCTCTAAGCACTGCTTCTCTTGAAGAGAGTTAACAGTTAAATTAAGGTGAGGATTATTGGTAACAATGTCACTGATATTGTAATTAATATGTGAAAATGGAGACCTCTAGGAAATATTTCATGTGCTATGACAGCTGTTGATTTTTTATTTTTGTGGAAAGCTGAAGGAGCAAAAATTTAAGTCAGCATTTTAGAGCTAGAAACACCTTCAATCAGCAAAACAAAACCAGCTGTTACTGAGTCGACTCTGGATGACATAAGCAACCTCCTTTACAGTAGAGCAGAACTGGGCTCCTGAACCCTTCAGTGGCTGATTTTCGGAAGCAGTTCACCATGCTTTTCTTACAAGGTGCCTCTGAGTAGACTTGAACCTCCAGCCTTTCTATTAGCAGCCAAGTGTGTTAACCATTTACACCATCCAGGAAGTCCGGAAAAGCCTTCAGACATTACTTTCTAGTTGGAACCAACTCATACCTGACCCTCTAAGACTGTGCATCACACAGGAGAAGAGTGTTCATCTTTCTCCCTCAGAGCCATGGGTGGAATTGAATTGCCAGAGAGGTTTGAGTTGTCTTTGGGTTACCCGCACAGTTCCTTATGACCTCTACCACCAGCATTCCCTAAGAGATAGTAGCAGGGTCATTCTGAGATACACTTGGAGTTGAAAAGCCTTCAAAGGAAAAATAGCAAACTCTTTAAGCTCTTTGATTGAAGTATGACATCTAAAAGTTCACAAATCATAAATTACCACTAAATGGACATACCCACGTCAAGAAACAGAAGAGTGCCAGAAATTCAGAAACTCCTGTTATGTTCTCATCACAGATCCCCCCTGCACTCCTAAAATGAACCAATATCTTGATTTCTAATACCATAGTTGCGGCTGTTTTTTAAATTTATGTAAATCCAATGACAGAACGTGTTTTTTTCTGTCTGTGGGTTTTTTTCCAGGCGGTTTTAGTTAGGTGTCATCGTGTGAAGTACAGCTTACAGCAGCCCTAGGAACAATAGACCTGGAGCCTGTCCTATCCTGTGCCGTCCCCATCATCTCTGACACACTCGAACATTGCTGCAGTCACTGTGTCAGAACATCTCACTGGGGGTCTTTCTCTCTTTCACTGAGCCTCTACTTTTCCAAACATGATGCCTCTTTCCAAGGAGGAGCTTCTCCTAGCAACAGGCCCCAAACAAGAGTCAAAGCTTCACTATCTTTGGCTCCAAAAAGAACTCTGGCTCCACCTTCTCTAAAACATCTCTCTTTGTTCTTTTGGCAGTCCATGGGTTATTCAGTACTCTTTGCCAGCACAACTCAAAGGCATACATACATTCCTCTGTCATCTCTTCATTTTCTGGGTGGTAGTTGTTGTTATGTGCTGTTCAGTTAACCACTCATACCTACTCTTTGAGCAATAGCTCTGAACCCTGCCTCATCTTGATCCAATCTCACCGTCTCTGGCATGCCTACCCCAATTGCCATAGTCACTGAGGCAATCCATCTCCTCCAGTGGCTTCCTCTCCTGCACTGACCCTCCACCCTTCCAAGCATGATATCTATCTTGGAGGACTGGTCTCTTCTGGCAACATGCCCAAAGTATGTGAGACAGAGCTTCACAATCCTTATCTCCAAGGAGCAACCCGGTTTCACCTTCTCTAGGACAGACCTGTTTGTTTTCACCCTTTTCAGGGCATACCTGTCTTAGTGCATAGCATATTCAGTACTCTTCTCTTAGCAGCACGACTCAAAGACATCAATTCTTCTGTCATCCTTAAACGTTGTCCAGCTCTCAGATGCAGAGCAAGTAATTGAGAAAGTGATTTTTCTGGGTTGTGGTTACTTTCTAAGTTTCATTTCTATATTCCACTGTATGAATGTATTACAAATTAGTAATTCTGTTGGTAAATATTTTGGTTGTTTCTAATAACTATGGCAAATACATTGCTGATCTGAATATTATGGTTCTTATTTTTTGGTGATGTTTGTATACAATTCTCTATCAGGCTGATGATATTAAAGCATGACATTGTTGGGCTACAGGGTTTGCATTTGTTTGCATGTATTAGATCTTGTCATAACTGCTTGACACAGGGATTATAATTTCTCATCAAGTGGGACGGACGTAAGCATTTCCTTTGTGCTGCATCCTGATCATCAACCGATGAGAATTCTCCTGTGTGTACTCCATCCAGTATCTGAAATCTCTTTTCATTTTAGCTCTTCTGATGACTGTAAAGTAAATATCACTCAGTTTTATTTTCATTTCTCTGGATTATTAATAAACAGGATTACTTTTTACATTTCCTGGACTTTTATTTGTGAAACAGATATTTAACTTTATTACATAATTTTATAATTGTGCTGTCTGGTGGCCTTCTGCCAAACTGAAAGGTGATTTGAATCCACCAGCTGCTCTGAGGGAGAAAAATGAGCTTCTCCATCTATGTAAGTTACAGAATCTGAGAAACCAACACAGGGTCAATTATGAGTCCATTTTAACTCCATGGTACACCTATTTTAAATTGATTTTAGCAGTAATGTTTCTGTATCTAGGATGCATGCCTTATACCCCCAGGATCTGATTTTTCAGTCCCATGATAATTGTTTTCATGAACTGAAGTTCTTAATTTTGAAAATCAGATTTTTCAGTCTTCTTTCCCCCTCCCCCCATTTATAGTTTATTGTTAAGTCTTTCCATATACAAGACCCATGAATATATTCTCCTGCATTATTTCACAGTGAAATCAATGATACCTGGGAAATGAGTTGTATGTTAGGGTGTGAGGTCAGTGTTGAACCAAACATCTTAATTAGGCCTTTTCAGACTAATTTCCTTCTCTTCTTCTTGCTTTCTGCTCTCAGCCCCAAAACTTAAATGTAAATGTGTCCAATTTCGCTGACTTACTGACCTGTGTTTAGGGCTATAACCATTATTAGAATCAGTCCTGTAGGAGTCTCTTGAGAAATAACTCCCATAAAACTTTATTTTTGGCTTTTCTTTCCTTTTTTTCTACATTCCAGACCTGGTGTGGGTTTTGCATAAATATTGTAATAAATTGTTATTTTTTTAATGATAAAGCATAAGGAAATTCAGTCAGTTACTCTTACTCCTTTGGAAGATCTTCCTTAATTATTGACTATTTGGGGGGGGGCAATCCTGTATCTGGATATTTTTTTTTCCTTTATATAAGTCTTATTGGAGAGGGACATCATGCTTGGTAGGGTAGAGAGACAGCGCAGGAGGGAAAGGCCCTCTATGTGGTGGATTGATTCAGTGACTGGGGTAATGGGGATGCGTGTATCAGAGACGGTGCGATTGGCACAGGACAGAGCAGAGTTTAGGGCTGTTGTAATATAGGGTCGCTATGAGTCATAAGCAACTCAACAGCACATAACAACAACAACAATGTCAGTTGTACCCCTTAATCCAATGACACATCTAATAATTCATTGACTCAGGTTCTCACTTAGGTTTCTTAACTCGTTGTGATATGAGAATTTTATCTTTTCACTTTGGTTAATCACATAATACACGCCAATAGACATTTTATAGGGGGAAAAATACAAGAGATGAAGGTTATTTTCCTCTTTATTTATTCTTAATTGTTAAATTGAGCCTAAGGTCACTGCTTCTGTTTATACAATAGAGGCAAAGTCTGTCTACCACTTGCTTACATTATTTAGTCAATTTTATTTTTGGCAAATCTTTGTTGTTCTTTCATGGGGACAAGAGATAGCTCACATTTTTTTAAATTGTTACATCTTTGAGAAAATCCATGTTAAATTTGTAGAATGGGGGCATTAAAGGCGATTGTTGAATCATCATCAATTCTTTGGTGGTAATGCATTAGATTTTTATTCCAAGTTACTGCTCATGACTCTCTGCTTCACAAAAGATCAGATACCACCACCAGAACATGTCAACTATAACCAGTATAGAGGACTCTACCCACTAATATGTGAGATGGTGACTTAAGTGTGGGTCAAAAGAATGCTTTAGTTTCCCTCACTAAATAATATAAATGATTACATTAACATTTCCCTTCAGATACAGTTTTCAACTCATTTGAAACTATTTGCAGATATAAATAGAACTATTTTGAATGCTGATCTCAATATGAATACAAGATCCACAGAATATACACAAAAGTACTGATGATATAACATCCAACGATCAGACTGCTATGAAGTTTACATTAAAATTCACTTATGTAGTAAAAAATAGAATTGTTGTAGCTAGAAAAAAATATTTTCAGAGGCAGCAGATACCCTTGGTGAAAAGAAACAGTTCTACATAGAAAGAAAATTGAGGAAGTATGCGAACTAGACACCAAGATACTCAGTATATTAAATTTAATCAGATAGAACAGAGAATATGATGTAAAAACAGCAGTTTACTAGAATAATTATAATTTGCAACACGTGAAAACAGTTTAGAAAATGGATTAAGATCATACCTTTATATAGTAGGCTTACTGGAAATACAGGTATGGAATCAGATCAATTCTGATACCACCTTTCCTGATCACCAAATCAATTTGAACCAATACCTTGGTATAAGTTTAAGGAGTAGGCATGTTACTGATTAGCAAGTGAAATCTTTTCTAGTGAGACTGTCAATTTCCTAGGGCCGCAGTTAACTATTTTTTTTTTATTTTTAGTGACAATTTTAGATGTAAAATTGTATTTCTCCTCATAATTAGAAATGCTGCTTAAAAAGATTTTGTAGGACAACCCTCAGACTGAAATAAAAATGCTTGGCCCACTATATAATAATTCACCTATTCAAGGGCAAGTGTACATAAACTATAACTTTAGAAATTAATCCTAATGGGACTTTTAGGGAAATTTTTATTTCTGAAAGCAAGGATGTATTAGACAATTCTTTTTGAGTTGGGTACATTGACTGGCCTAAGCATAAACATTCTCTGTATCAATCATATAGTTACAAAAACTGTACATTACAAACAGTATAGAAACAAGCTGAAAAGAAAGAGCCACACATCCTGGATAATTATCTATATGCAGTTAAATTTACAGATATAAAAGAAAATACAGCCTACTCCTTTATAGTGCACAGTTATTTTTTAGATAAAATGTATCACTAGTTAAGTGGTTGTGGTCACCAGCTAGTTGTCACCAGCACTGAGAATAAGAGCGAGATCTGTTCGGTACAGCTTCCCTCCATCCGACAAAGCCATTATGCTCTTCTTGTATGTTGGAATATTATTAATATCTAGTTCCTGTGTAGACATAGACAGCATTGTAATCCAGTTAAAAATGGAATTCAGTTAATCACTGTCAAATGATAAAATGTGGGCTGATAACTGCTTATTACATCAATCCATTAAGAAAAGCTGGTTTAAATTCTTACACAAATGCAGGATAATCATAAGATTTTTTTTTAATCTATTCATGACAGTTACCCTGATTTAGGCGGTAGAAAATTGCTTTAAGAGTTGAAACCTACTTCCACTTCTCTACTAATGCTTTAGTAGATTTTCAAAATGGATGTGGGGTTAATCTCTGGATGGAGTTGTAGGACTTGCTTAAAAAATGTCACCGTAATTAAGTTACCTGCTTGTTCTTCTCACACAGATCTTTCAGCAAAGCATCCAGTTCATTTTCATCTATGTATCCATTTCCGTCCTGGGAACAGGGAAAGAAAGCTTTCAGTCAGTTCCATACACAACAAGGAGCAAGAAACAAAATGGAAATAGTTGAAATCCTTGGCAATTTTCTCCATTGACTATGTAGCAGATATTCCAATCTCTCGGACCTTCAAAATCTTTGTTGTTTACTCTTAAATTGATTCTGATCCATAGACACGCCAAGGGAATAAAGCAGAACTCTTCTAACATAGACTTTTTTTTTAAAAAAAAACTTTTCTTCTTTTCCTTTAATTCTCATGTCACTCTCATTATTGAGAAAGTTAAAAAATACTACTTAACATAATAACATTGCAGCTAAATCACTAAAAAATTTTGCAAAACCTGAGATTATAAAAATACCTGCAAGCAATAAAAACAGTTTAGGCTTGTTGCATGTACAGAGGAAGTGACATGATCAGAAGCATCATTGTAATTGAATAATAAAGACAAATCTCTGAGCAGAATACAACAGAAAGTTCATAAAATAATGAACATAGGGTTTTCACCCAATAGCTATATTTATGTGTAAACTGGCTTTACAAAAAAGTATTTTTCTTGTTCTAACTACAGAGATACTTTTTATTAATTTTAATGAACGTTTACAGAAAATTTGGATATCCATTCATACATTGTTGCACTTTTCTCCCTGCCCAGCCTCCCCCTCAGTTTGCACTTCTTTTTGAAAAGTAAAGGGATTGTTATACAATCCCTCCCTCCAAGTCCACTCCACAGAGAATTTTTAAGAACTTTTGAAAGCATGTTTCCAGACCCTTCAAAGTTGCCTCTCAACTCAGATTTCCTTGCTATCAAGTCAAACTAACACATAGCTAACGCTGCACTGAACTTCCGAGGCTATAAATCTCACAGGACATTGTCCATTTTTCTCCCTCTGAGTCACCAAAGAATTTGAACCACCTAAGAGTTGTGGCCTTTGGATTTAGCACAAAATTGCTTCTGGAGGGGCTCAAATTGCCAGTTAGTTGAGTGCTATGCTACCATGTAGTTAAAAACCTTAACTGGTCCATAATTGCAAAATAAAGTAGGAGTTAACTTATCATCTATCACTTACATTTATAAAGCACATTGAACTTTTTCAGTGTGCTTTCACATTTACTGATTTACACAAGACTGCTTCATGTCAAAGTAGTAATCGTATAAATAAGATTATCCCAAGTTGAGAAATGATGACATTGAGGCTTTAAGAGGTTTGGTATCTTTTTAAAAACCTGATAACAGACAAATTATGGTGGAGAGTTGAAATAAAAATGTGTTCAATTTAGACTATACTGTAGATCTTTTCATATAGAAAAGATTGGTTATGTATTTTTAATGCACCATGTTTCTTTTAACCTAGAGTTTGTGGAGGAGTTTTCCTTTGTGACTATTTTCCAGATTCTTCTAAACATTCAAATTGTAGATAAGAACAAACTTTTACCTGGTCATATAGTTCAAAAGCCTTATTGAACTCTTTTCCACACATTTTGATTCCCTAAAAGATAGAAAAGATGAAAATGCTTTATCATAATAGTTTAGTATTCTAAGTTCCCCCTACCATATTCTAAGATTTCAAGAAAAATACTTGTGGCAGAAAAACTTAAATACCTGAAATTTAAGAAGAAAATTCTCCTGTACTGGTAGTAACCTTTTGAGAGAAAAGCATAACAGTAGTATATTAGTTTTGTGTTTTCTTCGCTCCTACATGATCATCTTATTACAATTATAGTTGCATACACCTAAACTCACCTGGCCATCTCAGTTAATTCCAGTTTCCCATCATTATTTGAATCAAATAATTTCAGCTGAAAAACAGAAATCATTATTCGAGCCACTGAAGCATGGTGTGTAGGCCACAATTTTCTAGAAACTGGCATTCTTTGTTAACTTCAAAACTAATGTTTATGTTAATTGTCAATTTTTATCACAATGATAGAGTAATGAAAAAGTGATGATAAAAATAAGTCATTTTACAAAGTTTAATGGGACAGCAAGTAATACATGTTGGAGAGGATGTGGCAAGACAGGAACTCATGCATTGTTGGGACTGTAAAACATACAACCACTTTGGAAGGCGGTTTGGTGTTTCCTCAAAAAAGCTGAATATAGAAATTCCAGATGACTCAACTAATCCACTGCTTGGAATATACCCTGAGAAAATGAGAACTGAGGCACAAACGAGGTTTGAATTCTAATGTTCCTAGCAGCGTTATTCACCATCACAAGAACATGAAAACAGTCCTAATATCCAATCACAATTGAATGGATTGAGAAATTATGGTACATTCACACAATGGAATACTACGCAGCACACAGGAGCAATGATTTTGTAAATGACTGCCTAACTTGGGAGGGATAGAAGAGCATTATGCTAGATGAACTAATTCAGTCCCATAAAGACAAATACTATGTAAGACCATTAGTGTAGAACATGTATAAAGATCCAAGAGGGAGAGGGTTAGGAACAGAGTCTTGGTGAGGATAGGCATAGGGGTCTAGGGGTAGTTAATCATAGGGTCACACAATCTGATGGATGGAGTGAGGGGTGGGTACAGGAAATGGGAAAGATTTGGTGTGAAAAACAACATATATATACGAACTTCATAAGTAAATCAACATAAAATAAAAATTTTATCTAAATAAAATAAAAATAAGTGGCCTTAGCTAGATATTTAAAATATCATTTATTGCTTTTTTACTGTATATGTGTAGCAAGAGTAGAAAAAATGGAGTCTGATTGTGATATGAAAATAGTCCACGTAAAAAAAAAAAAAGAAAATAGTCCACGTGTCTTTAAAACATGAGAGTACAAATAGGAGCAATATGCAGGTAATAGAGATAAATACTTAGTGAATCAAACTTTTGAGTGCATTTGAATTGCTTTATTATCCACTAGATAGTGCTCAAAAAAATACTTAGTGTTACTTTCCTGTTTTCATCTACATGAAACACCAAAAAACATTGAAATGTGTTTTTGAGATGCAACATATATATGCATACTCTAGCATGCTTATATTCATATCCAAGGTGCAGTCACATTTTTAGAAAACAACTATTGCTATATTGCTATATTATATATGAGTACTATATATAAAAGAGAGTATATTGAATAAAATATTTTAGATACTGTATATAAAATATAGTATATTGAATAAAATATTTTAGGTAAGTACCATTTTTGTTTTCTTTTTTTAATGATAAGGTGATAGTTGGGGTAATCCTGGCAACAGGATAGAGGAAGCTTCTTTAGGAAATAAAGGAAAACCATTTCTGGTTTAAGTTACTTTAAGTATCTTTGAAGAAGGCAGGTTTCTTCAGGGGCTGACACAAAATTTTTAAATCCATTGAACATAAACTCTGATATTGTTAAACTATTCCAAGCTACTGTACAACTAGATCATGGAGTTTAGTGCCCATAGGGAAATATTTCCCCAAATATATATTTAAATTTTAATTAGTTCTTGATTAACTTGCTTCCTGAATTTGAACTGGTTTATGACATTTAATCAGATATGTCAGGCCAATCCAACGGGGGGAAAACTCCCATCTGAGTGGTTCTTAAAAGCCTACTTCAGCTGTCTACCTGGAAAGGAGTCATTACTTTAAATAGACATCTCTTAAAGGTGGAACAAAACTTGAAATTGTTAAATGTAGGTTACTTCCACCACCTAAAAGTTACTCATATTATACCTCTGCCTCTGAGACATATAGCAAGGAAGTTTGCCCTCTCACATAAAGACATTTTTATAATTAGGAATTTACAAACTTAGAAAATGTCATTTCTTTACAACCTAAAATCTAAAGATTATAAAATGGATAATGCAAAGGTAAAATTTTAATATTCCCCAAAAAACTAGAGTAGGAGAATTGATGCCTTTGAGCTGTGGTGCTGGAGAAAAGTATTGAATGTACCTGGACTGCCAAGAAAACAAACAGATTCATCCTAGAGAGGGTTAAACCAGGCTACTCCTTGGAGGCAAGGATTCTGGGGCTTCGTCTGACATACTTTGGACATGTTGCAAGGACAGACAGGTCTTTAGAGAGGGACATCATGCTGGGTAGAGTAGAGGGACAGCGCAGGAGGGGAAGACCCTCGATGAGGTGGATTGATTCAGTGACTGGGGTAATCGGGATGGGTGTGTCAGAGGCAATGAGATTGGCACAGGATAGAGCAGGGTTTAGGGCTGTTGTACATAGGGTCGCTATGAGTCGCAAACGACTCGATGGCACATAACAACAACAAAAGGTTGAAAGTAAGCTTCACATCAAATATAATCAAACTCTTTTATAAAAGTGGTCCTCAAAGTAATTGAAAAGTCAAACTCCAAAAATCTAGTATTATTAGCTTTTATGATATATGATTACATTTTACTGGTTTATTTCTTTAAATTCATAGGGTAAAAATTGACTATTTTTCATAGTTTTTTTTTAAAAATTTTATTTTATTTTGTGTGTCTGTGTACCATCAAATCGGATCTGACTGGTACAGGAGGAGATTGTCCCTCCTTTCCTGGCAGAGCATCTGGTGGATTCGAACCATGCACCTCTGGGATTGCAGTGCAGCTTCTTGCCACTAGGCCACCAGAGCTCCCCTTATTTTTCATAGTTTTTAAGAGTACTTGTAAGTATATATAAGCATTATGATAGATGGTGAAGAGATTGAGATTGTTAACAGCTTCAGTTTGCTTGGCTCTACAATCAACACTCTTGGGACCAGCAACCAAGAAACTAAAAGATGAAATGCAATGGACAAGTCTTTTGTCTGAGAACCTCACCAAAGTACTGAAGAGCAACAATGTCAATCTGGAGACTAAGGTGCACCTGGTACAGGCCGTGCCGTGGTCTTTGCGATCACTTGCTATGCATCAGAGAGCTGGACAATGACTAGGGAGGATAGAAGGAGAATTGATGCCTTTGAACTGTGGTGCTGGAGAAGAGTATTGAATATATGATGGACTGTTAGAACAAACAAGTTCATCCTGGAGAGGGTGAAGCCAGGCTGCTCCTTGGAGGCAATGATTCTGAAACTTTGACTTAATTTGGAAATGTTGCAAGGAGGGATCAGGCCTTGGTGAAGAATGTCATGCTTGGGAGGGTGGAAGGACAGTGCAGGAGAGGAAGATCCTTGACGAGATGGATTGATTCAGTCACTGGGGTAATGGGGGTAGGTGTATTGGAGACAATGGGATTGGCAAATGATGGAGCAGGATTTAGGGCTCTTGTACATGGGGTTGCTATGAGTTGTGGGCAACTCGACGGCACATAACAACAACAACAACATATAAACCTATCCATCTAGATTATTTAAAACTTCATTTTCATTAAAAAATGGGATTATATTCATTAAAATGATGTTAAACTTTAGGCCCACAAATTAATATTTTTTAACAAGGACTTTATGATAGTCCTAATCCCATAATGAATCAAAATTAGTACATGTCACTCAATTGGTAAAAACTAATTTCATGGATCCTGGATAATATTTAATCTAGAACCGCATTCATTTATTTGTGCATTATTTAAGCATTACGTGCCAGTTTTATCTTCCTATCGTCAATAATTTACAACTGATCTTGGTTATACCATGTACCATACAATCAGAGTGTTTATATTTGGATTTTCACATTTACAGCGTAATTCAATGAATAAAATAAAAGTGTCCTAACTCTGATGGTAGTATATGATTTCCAAAGCTATGAGGAAAATGGATTTAAGACTTCTACAATAAATTATTCTTAGAGAGATAATCACACTGAATTTTTAAGAAAAGCAAGCCATCTTTTGAGAAAATGTACATGGTTTCAGGAGAAAGAAATCCTTGTATATTGAACCTTAGAGCCCATTCCAGCAGATCTTGATGTCACTGTTCAGCTGAACCAATGCCTGTATGCTTGTGATGGCCACACCATGGGATATTTATTACATCCTGTACAGCTACAGGACTTAACACAGCAATATTTCATTCATATTTTGGCTACAGTGTTCTCAAGACCAAGCTTACCATTAGATCTGTATACTCAGCTAATTTTGTATCATCAACAGTCTTGTTTGCTTTTTCTAGCAAGTCCTTTAGAAAGTTCTGTTAAGACAAAGAGAAAGCACATAAATGTCATCAGTGATGTACAGTCTGCTGCCATTTCAGCATGTCTCCAAATGGAATGACCCGAGAATGCAAAGAAAGTCTCATTTTTAGGTTAGAAGGAGCAAGGAGAGAATTTTCAAAGTGAAAATTCACTTGTGCTCCTCTTGATATCCATCCATCCTGCAAGTCACCTTAGATGTGCTAGTAGATGGTATGGTATTTCCTTTTTAATGAGGCCAGAAGTGTCAAAGTCCATGCTATATTTTATTTTATGACTTTAATTAAAGGAGGATCTGTGATGAGCATTGTTTAGGAATTTGAATTAAAACCTCTTTGAATCAGTGAGCTCCCTGGATGCATTTCTGTCATGAATGTTCAGGGGTTACATTTCTACACAAAACAGACATCCTCTCTCTCTGCCTTCATAACCTATGCAAAAATGTATCAGTAAGTCATATGGAGAGATAGCTGTTTGACTTGATTTCTAGTATAAAATGTGTTTGTTCACAAGCTGTATTTGCAGGTTGATAGCCGGAATACAGCTCGTTTCCCAGGTTGCTTGGTCAGGTTCGTTGGTCAGCATTTAGTCTTAACCAGTCTGCAGCACCTCGTGAGAATGCTTCAGCAAACTTCAAATGAAAATTATTTGCCACAGATGATTTCATCTAATTTTTGAAGAATACATGAATAATATTAAAATAGAGATTAATGTGGGTAGGATGAAAAAAGGGATGATTATTAGTTTGACAGTTGGAGTGAAGGAGTAAGTTTAATTTTTTAATCAGAAATAAATCCAATAAAAGCTTTGCAAAATCATGCCATGCAAAATGACAATGCAAATATTTAAACTCATAAAAGTTTTTCATTTTCTCTAGTGATGTTCATTTGAAACTCTTTCATTGTTCAAAATAATAAAGTTAACACAATTATAGAAAACTGAACAGAGATGGTGGCCAGATATTATTAAGTAATAGCTTAATTTCTCCCTTGCATGCCTCAAATTGATCAATCTTGTTGGATTGATTTCACTTCAATCTTCCAATTGACAAAGCCCTTTTTCTTGGTTTGATCAATTTATTTTCACTTCAAACATTCCATTTCAAATTCAAAGTGAAGCATGGACATTTCAAAAGAACCTGCTGGGAGTGAATTTTATTTTTGAGCCTTATGAGGCTTTTGTCAGAGATTAATTGGGTTACAAAGCCTCATCAGAGACTAAAATGGTGGTCACAAAAATAGCCCGGGAGAGACCTCAGGACTCTGAGATTCAGAGTTGTGTCTGAGAGCAAGAGATGTTTTACTCTATTATACATCTTAAAATTAGCTTTCTTGAAAGATCCATTAAAAAAGAATGCCAACTTATCTTTAAAAGTCTCTAGGGAAGAGGACTTCTATTTAGAATCTCTTTGTGAGAATAAAATTTAGAACAAAGAAGGAGACTTTTAGAATATTTTGAGGTCAGTGTTGGAAATGAGATTAGGTTTTTATTATGAACGTGGAAAGATATTTTTAAAAAATGTCTGAGGTAATAAGAATACAATAGCTTAACTGCCATCTTATAGACTCGAGGTTACTGAGCGGCAAGTTTGTAAAAACCATTGTTTAAGTGCCTTCGTATTAAGAATGCTTATGTTTTAAAAAGGCTGTGGTTGAATATCTTATAGCAATTTTGTAATGGGGCAGATGTCCCCACTCCGTCTCTAAAATTGTACACAACTCAAAGTCGTGTTCAACTCCGACTAGGAAATGGTTTTTGATGTTTTTCTTTCTCTACATAACTGTAAATGAGATACTCTTGATGAATGAAGCTTGAAAGATCATGGTCTTGTGGGGAAGGACCACAGAGGTTGTTCTAGAGCATTTAGATGTTTTTGAGGAAGCCACACAACCTTGAGAGATGATTTATCTCAAGAAACTCCTGTTTCTCTATGTAACAGGAATGATAATGTCAGCTTGGTTAGTTGTTTGTGAAGACTCATTTTTAAGACACCTTTCTGACATGGAGTATGATGCCTTTCATATCACCAGAGCTCAGTAAATATTCACTGTGCATTCTAAAGACAGACAAAAGAAGATTTTCCAGAGTGAAGAGTTTTGAAATCAGTCTGAGAGGGAAGAATGAAGATTTCCTATTTCTGAAAGACTAATAAATTATTGAACTCACATTTGTGGTGCTTTGTTCAAAAACATCTAAATGCTCTAGATAGAATATTTGATATGCTACAACCCTTGTGGTCCTTCCCCCACAAGTTCAAGACCTTTCAAACTTCATTAATCAAGGGTATCTCATATACAATATCTTTTTTCCCCTTTCATATACAATATCTTATTTGAGCATCCCAATAAATCTGAAATGAAGATATCATTACTTCCTATTTAAAGGGGAAAAAGGAAACTAGATGAAACAGAGATTTTCCCTTGCATAAAGAAGACTGAAGAAGAACTATTGTTTTTAAATTGTAGAATATAAAATATACCATGGACTGCTGAAAGAACAAACAAATATGTCTTGAATGACATGCAACTGAATGTTCCTTAGAAGCATAGATGGTGATACTTTATTTCTTGCATGTCATAAAGAGGAGCCAGTCCTGTGAAAGGACATCAAGCTTGGAAAAGTTGAGGGTCAACAAAGGAGAGGAAGCGTCTCAACAAGATGGACTGACACAGTCACTGCCTCAATGGGCGGTACCACACACACTGTGAGGGTGCGGAAGGCTCAGGCAGTGTTTTGTCCTACATTGGGCTGCAATGGGTCTAAAATGATCCAACAGCCCCTAACAACAACAACAAAACTCAAGTACAAAACCTATTGCCTTTTCCTTTATCTTGTTCCCTTCCCTGTCCACTTCTTATGTGCATCTGCGAATTGGCAAATTCATTTTCAAAGTTGCAGTTTCCTAGAGAAGTTTGTGTAGGCTAAGATTTTCTTATTGTTGTTGTATAGAATGTCTAGGGGTTTTGAAGTAAACATGTCTGGGTTTAAAAATTGGAACTTTGTGTCTTATCATTTAACTTTAAAAAAACCCCAACTTTCTATTGCAGTTTGAGTGAGAGTCTATAGAGCGGGTTGGTTTTCAATCCAATCACTCATGCACATTTTGTTGCATGTATTTATTGCAACTCTCACAATGGAACTACATTCTTCCAATTTTCCCCTGTGATTCTTGTTTGCATTCCTACTTCTCTCATCTCCCTTCATGCTTTCTAAGCTTTACCCCTTTTGCTATTGTACAGTTGATTGTACGCCCTAGTGTTATCATTCACCTTATTGTTGTTATTGTTGCTAGAGGCTGTTGAATCAGTTATGACTCATAGTCAACCAACCTATGAACAACTGACCTGAACCTTTCCTTATTCTGCGCCATTCTCACTATCTCTGATATGTTGGAGCCTGTTGTTACAGTCACTGTGTCAATACACTATGTTGAGGGTCTTTTCTTTCTCTGATCCTCTGACTTCCTAAAAACATGCCCAAAACATGTGAAGTTTCATCATTTTCACCTCTAAGGAGCCACCCAAGGTGCATGAGCTATCTGCTGGAAGCTCTGAAAGTGGTTACAACAGGGGGCTTCTGGATACAGTTCCAGGTAAACATGGAGCGAAATTCAATATCATAAAAATGATTAGGATCAAAAAGAGGCGAATGGAGCCTCTGATAGCCTGGGATTGCCTTCTTCCTGTGGCACAGCTTTGAGCCAAGCAGCAGACAGGCCAACACAGTGTCCGGTCATTTATTTCCCTTTGTCTTTCTTTACAGATGTTTCATTTACAGACTATAATTTCAATTACAATAAAATTATTCATAGGACTGAATAAATAGTTATATCTATCCCTCTATCTATCTGTCTACCTTACACACCTTACACACAATGAATGTACATAAAGGGAAATGCTCATTTCTGGAATTGCATAAAGGGAACTTCAAGAAGTACTTGAAATCTTAATCCCAGAGGCGCGCAGTTTGAATCCACCAGATGCTCCGCTGGAGAAGGAGGGACAATCTCCTCCTGTACCAATCAGATCTGATTTGACAGTACACACACACACACACACACACACACAATTATTTTTTTTAAAAATTCTTGAAATCTTTTCTTTGTAATCTGATAATTCATTAACTCTATAGAAGAGTGAGTGAACATTTGCATTTGCTCAGTATCAATATATTTTGTGGAAAGTTTAGAAAAAAGATATGAAAGCCTTAGCAGTTCATAATTGTATTTGAAAGAGAAAGACAAAGAAAAGGGGAAAAAATCCTAGCATAAAGGTGTTTTTTTTTTGCTCACCTTAAGCTCCTCAGTTTCTATGAAGCCACTGTGATCAGTATCATATTTTCTCCATGTCTGCAAGCAATTTTTGACAAGAAAATGGAACACATTGAGAAAAATCTAGTAATTTTTATACTTTAAGCAGCATCATGAAGGCGCCAGTCTGTGCCAGAGCTTTCTCATACCTTCATGAATTCTTCGCAGGACTTCAGCTGCTGGCATCGGAAGAGCAGTAGGAAGTTTTCTTCTGTGGGTAATACGTGAGCCAACTGGAAAAGATAAAAAAGCACAGGGGTTGTTGTCAGGAGCGTGGAAGCAAGTCTCTGGGGTCACCTGCTGCTTTGCTTTTCTCCAACACCGTTCTCTAGGAATGGTCTCATTGCCTATTCAAACCTCAAAACCCACTGCTGTGGAGGGCAGGGAGTGAGAGGTGGGCAGGGAGAAAAGTGCAGCAATGAATGAAGACAAATCCAAAGTCTCTGTAAATTGTTTAATAATAATAATAATAATAATAATAATAATAATAAAAGTGTAATTAAAAAATTAAACAAAAACCACAAAAAACTCACTGCTATCCAGTCAGAATCAACTCACAACTGACCATCTATTGGGTTTCCTGAGGCTGTAAAAATCTCCCTCAAGGTGATAATAGATTCAAACCGTCAGGGAGGCCCGGCCTTTGAGTTAGCCGTACAATTCCTAATGGACTTGCCATGTGCCATTCAGTTAGAATTGACTCATTGGTGACCCTGCAGTAGGTTTTCAGAGGCCGTCAATCAGGTAGGAGGAGACTGCCCACTTCGTGTCCCTGATTTGGCTGTGCAGCCCCTTATCCTGTGTCCATCAGAGCTCATGATGAGAGGAAAAAATGTTAGAGTCAATTTTCCCTTTCTGGTACTCTGTTTCTAGGAAGTGATTGCATATTTACAAACACTTACATGTCCTTGAGTACTCCCTTCTCCCCTTAGTGACAAAGCACACTCAAGCAGGACGTTTCTGGCCAGCACTGGTCAGCTTGCATACAAGTTCATTTATCTGATATCTGCTGACTGTCACTGATCAGCTGTCCTGCTGGACAGTATACTTTGAAGCCAGAAAGTCTAAGTGTGATGGGAAATAACTGTGACAGATAAGAATGTAGGGGTAAAGAAGAAGAAAAAAGAAAAGCACACCCCCCAAATCGTAGGAGAGGAAAGGGAAGAGAAACCAAAGGCAATTGTAAAGTGTGGGAAAAACAGACAGAGCAGCTTTATGATGAGCAGTGGAAAATTTAACAGTAATAGGAAAAACCAGTTCTCAAAGAGTCGGCTTCTGCTAAAAATGATGTCCACAGTGTGAGTTCAGCGCTTGGGTTTATTTTTTGATCAGTACTTGCCTAGCTCTAGCTCTATGACATTTCCCCTTAGATCTTATTTCATAACTTCAATGCACTTCTTTTTTTAAAGAGAAAAAAATGGCTCTGGATCCCATTTTAAGACTGATAATCTATCTGCTGCAGTGTGGGGAGGTAGGGAGCTGGATTGATGGCCCCACCTCAGACAAGGGCTCTATTTCTGGCTGAGCTGCTAATTAGCTATGATCCCCAGCCACTCTCTCAGCCATTTCTGGACTTCAGTGCCCCCTTCAGTAAAACAGGGAGTTGGAAAAGAAATGAGTGTTTCTGCAATGTACTGGATTCCAAACTCCTTTGCAAATCTCTTGAAGTTAAAGCATCATCACCATTCAGAAATGTATGCACTTAGTGTATTGCATTTGGTTTCCAGACCTTGGTAAATCCTATGGAACTCAAGCCTGAACTCCCACCCCTTGGTTTTAGGCCCTAAATCTAAGATTGTGGCCTTAACTCAAGATTGTGATCATCCTTAAACTTAGCTGACGTTTTAAAAGTTCTACCAAATTAGAGAAAGGCTGTCATTTCTTCCTTCCTTCCTGTCTTTCTTTCATGTTTCACCTTTTCATCAATTAAAAATGTTTGAGTTAATCTAAAATGTATAATTATCCTTTATCTACAAGCAATCTCATCTGTCTTATGCCTTTATAATATGCCCTTTAACTTATTTTGCTTTGAAATCTCAAAACAATATCTCAAATTAGAACCTGCTCAGCTTATAAGCAGTTCATGTGGGAGTAAGACCAGGTAAAGGGCTTAGCATCTTATTAAGATGGTTAGAAAGATGCACTAAGAAAACATATCCTTATTTATTTTTAAATAAATGTCATGAGTGAGGGCAGATGGTAATACATCATAAGGAGAAAACAGGGAGTTAAGAGTTTGTCAGTGAAGTTCTTTGGTAATCAACCTTTGATCTTTAAACACCGCACTGCCGTATGTGTGTCTGTGGGCACTCATATCTTATTCATGGTTTTCACTAAACTCAGGGTGTTCTCTGACCTTTGAACTCTTGACTCATAAAATTCTGTACCTCAGAGACAGTATTCAGGGCCCAAAGTTTAGAGTTGAAGAGGCTGAAATCAAAAGAGTTTGAGTGGTTTGAGTTGGTTGGTGGCTGACTTTAGTGATTATTTATTTGTTGGTTTTTAGTAAATCAAGTCACTACCTTGCTTATTGTAGAAATGGAATTTTTTTTTATTGCTTCATTCTCAGCCTGCTGATAATATGTTTATTGTAATATTTTACATAGTACAGAAAGATAGAATGACTGAAAGTCTTTAGTTCTACTCAATTGAAAACAAGATTTCCTACTTTCTTATAAGACCTGTATTTTTCCTCAGACTTTGAGTGGGCTGGTAGTGGAAAGTAGCTAGGCACAATTTTAATTACTGAAATAACCAGCTATCAGAAAAAGTGACCCGGAGGGTCCTTTTCTACTCCTCGTTGCTGAGGGAGGGGAAAGGAGGCCAGAATGAGGAGAGCAATGTGTGTGCTGCGCGTGGAGGGCCCTCTTGTAGCAGGAGAGGCAACCAGGCTTACAGGGTTCTGTCCTGTCTAGTGCAACACTTTCTTGAAAGGGCTTGGGCGATGCTTCTTTGAGGAACGCAAAGGAGGAAAAGAGGAAAAGACTACTAAAGAAAGGGAAGGGTAGAAGAAGAAAGACAAGACAAAGGGGGAGTGCTGAGGAAAGAAAAAGGAAGCATATAACTCTAAGAAAGAAAATACATACAGTGAGAGGATGACATTTTGCAGAGGAGATTGGATACGAGAACTAAATGGGAAATTTATATTGGGTGGTTCTGTATAATACAGAGTGGCCACATTATATCGTGATTCTACAATAACATAACCAGTTGTTCAATGACCAGGAAATAGCTAATACCAATGCTTCTTTATTTATTGGTATGGCTTCTCAGATACTATGTTAAGGTTTTATGGGCTCTCCCCAAAGGCCACCCATTTCAGGATAGTAAAGAATGTTCCTTGTGTTCTCGTAATACCAGTGTGTTGGCCAGTATTGTAATAATGTACCTAACTTAAATGTTTGCACATTATTAATAATTTTTATTCATTAATATGCTTAATTGATATGATTTTTAATGAATTCTTTTTTTTACTTTCTTTGGCCTATTTTTTAAAATTAAATTTAATGAAAGTTTACAGACTTTGGATTTCCATTCATTCATTGTTGCACTTTTCTTCCCACCCAACTCCCCTCCCCCACTTTGCTCTTCTTTTTGAAAAGTAAAAGAAAAATTATTTCATTGTTATGCAATCCCTCCCCCAAGTTCACTCCACTATGCAGCCTTCATTCTGGACTCCTGTCATGACAATAATACCTAATCATATATCCCTTTTAAACAGTTCTCTCCTACATCAGTTTGAATGCAGTATAAAAATTTATCCCATCTTTCTCAGTCTCTTCCCAACCCTGATGTCAGTTCCATTTTACAACAGTGGCACTATTCAGTATTTGTCCTTTTGTGACTGAGATATTTCACTCAGCATAATGTTCTCCAGGGTCATCCATTTTAAATAATATTTCGTAAGTTCCTTGTTTTTCAGTTCTTTGCTATATATTATACTCTAATTTTTAAAGTGAATGTCTGGCTTAAGACAAAATTTATTTAAAAATCTTACTTATTCAAATTTATTGAGTTAATGAAAACAGGAATAAAAAAGGAAATGTATTAGCTAGTAAAAGATGGCCAAAAGGAACATTAGTTGATTTTTTAAAAATCATTTGTGTTTCACAAATTAAAGTTTATGACCCTCACAAGATGTTCAGAGATCCATGGAGTGGAAAAATAAAGAGTAAAATTACTCTTTATGTATTTCTTTGCTCATAACATTAGGGTATCACCTGGTTTTACTCTTACCAAAAGTATAGATTGTATCTTCATGCACCATATTCAGTCTGCTTTGATTTCATTGAACTATTAATATTAAGCTGAAGACAACACTGTCCTATTTTAAAGACATTAGAAATGAGTCATAAAAATCACTACAACCCACAGGTTAGCATTAGGAGTAATAGCACCTCAAACTGTTGCTAGGCTTTATACTCTACAAAAATGTGTTAACATCTAACTCTTTTCTCCTTGCTTCACTAGGGGTGCACACCTCAAAATCATTGTTTAGTATAACCACAAAATGGGAACCATGCTATTTCTCAGCTCTTAATTACCTTGGAGTTGTTTAATCTACAGAGAGTTGTGTGTCTGAGGAGGTTTGCATCAATCACGGATGTGTATATATGTGTATAATGATCCAGCTCTCTTGAGGCATTTCTGAAGGATCTTCCCAGCTTCAGAGTTTGCTATATGGTCATCTGGGGTCTTGACTGAGATTGTATCATAGTCTCTCTCTCCATCTGCCTTGTCCTGCCCCATTTCCTTTCCTTCCAAAGCTTATGATTTCAAGGACAAAACTTTAACCAAACTTCCCATGGAGTTAATTTTAACTCATAGAGACCCAGCAGGATAAAACATAACTGCCATATTAGATTTCTAAGGCTATAATTTTAGGGAGCTCTGGCAGCTTAGTGGCAAGAAGCTGCGCTGAAATCCCAAAGGCACGTGATTAGAATCCACCAGCTGCTCCAAGGTAGAAAGATGGGCAATCTCCTCCTGTGTGATTAACTGCCTCTGAAAATCCACCAGAGGGTCAGCTATGGGTCAGTTCTGACTACAGTGCACAACAATCTTTACAGAAGCTGACTGACACATCTTTCTTCCATGGAACAGCTGGAAGGTTCAAGCTTCTATCCTCTCAGTGAGCAACTGAACACTTTAGCCACTGCACTACTAGAGATCATTATTGATTTCTACAGCATCCTAATAAACCTTTTTGTGCTAATCAACTCAGAATTTGCTT